TTTTCCTACTCGGTAACGAGTAACTGTAACTTGTTACTTTTAAAAAGTAACTTTCCATTCCCTGTATTGTATTGAGTAGATGCTTACTAGCCCAGGAAAATTAGACGATTTTTGGCGACATAAAGAAAAAAATTATTGCAAAGCTGAATTTTTGCATAGTCTATAATAAAATTCTTATTAACATATAAAAACTCCCCATGTATAAGGGCATAGGCGGCTGTGCCATCTTGAAAAAATGACGCACAAAATCGGTTCTTTTTTTTTTTCAAATATCTCAGAAACTATTCGTTGTACGGAAATGAACGTTCAGTTCGAAAATGAAGCTGATAAAATTTCTCACAATTTCGTTTTTTAATGAACCTCATACGACCAATAATTCCAGTAGATCTCTAGATTCGCGTAGATCTCTGTACAAAAATTCAGCAATTTTGTCCTTTTTAAACTCTAAATTTTCCTATGCAGGACTATGCAGAAAAAAATAATGTTTAAGCATCAGATTTTAAAAACATAATTATATAATAAAAAAGATTTTAATTCTATAATTAATGAAAAAGATTCTTTATTGTGTAACAGAATATATAATAACTTAATTATACGGTAATAAATCCATGTTTTTTTATTTTATAGCAGTGGCACTTGCAATGGCATCGCTATATGGGTGGATTGGCAATTAGATTCGGATTTATCAGTATCTTGTGGTCCGATTGAAGAAATAGTACCTAGCAAACGTGTGTCCTGGGATCCATATACGAGACAAGGAGTGCATCTATTTCGTACAGTATCCAATGTTACAAAAAAAAGTACACTTTCGTGGTCGTTTACCTTTCTCCCACAAAATGGAGAAATAGAATTTAAGTTCAATATAGTAACGAATGATTGATTGTATTAATGAACATTTGTTTGATTGTGTTCATTCAATATTCGTAAAATAGTAAAATGTTTAATCTTTGTTTTTTTTTTTGCTATATTAAGGAAAGCTTGAAAGATTAAACAATAAAAACTAAAATTTTACAAAAACGAACACTTACACCTAGCCGATCAACTTAACCTTGACATATGTTGTCAAGGTTATGACCCTGAGTAACTTCCAACAGGTTTAGCCATCGCTCGTTATTCGTTAAAAAGTTATTAACAATCTCAAAGTTCGTAATTATTTCTCCGTTTTGCATGGAAGGTCGGATGACTCTAAGCAGGAGAGAGGTACATACTAGGGGTGTATAACTTTTTATGTGAAAGGAGTTCCATCCCACCTCCTTCCTGCTTAGAGGCGCATGACTTTTTACGCGAAGCGAGGGCCACCCTATCTTCGGTAGAGTTTTTATCGTATGTTGTACGAAACAGATGAATATTCTACAATATTCACCTTTCAATTTATTTTAAACTATTGAAATAATCTAAAAAATATGACAGTTACGCGGAATATCCTGTAGAATCATATTTCTACAAATGCGGAAATCTATATATTTACAAAAAGAAAAAGAGAGAGAGAGAGAGAGAGAGAGAGAGAGAGAGAGAGAGAGAGAGAATTGAATATTCAGTATTCAAAAATATTAGCATATAATTAAAACAAGTCACAAAAGTAAGAATCCATGGTAAAACATAAGTACAAAGATATGTAAATTTTCAAAAAGATTAGTTTTTAATATTAAAAAAAAAAAGCATTTTTTCGGGTCACTAGAGTAGAAAATATCTCTTAAGACTCAGTCTCACTCTGTAACTGTAAAAATAGAAAATTTATTAAAACTTATATATATATATATATATATAAAATATATATGTACATATATATATATATATATAATACTATATATATCTAACACTTCACGCAGTATTTCTTTTCACCTCATATGAAGTTCATTTTATATGAAGTTCATAAAAGATATTTATATTTTTTATCTATCTATATTTTTAAATATATCTTAATATTATGAGGTACTGTCCGGTAAGATATGTAATTGTTTGGCGAGTCTTTTGCCTATTAATTTGGGATAAGTTTTCTGTTTGATAAGAAATTCTTTGCTCTGATGTGTTACCGCACCATTTTCTAATTGAAATCTGAAAGAAGGAATAGTTCTTCAAATGGTTTTCGTCATTCATATATGATAAACTAATCATAAATTAATTTTTTATGTATTGTATCGAGTATAATTACACAGGCCTGTAAAAATGAAACTTTGGAAAATCCACTATGATGTAGGAGTGGTTTCCGACGTAATTTTTTGCGCTGAATCCGAATCTGGCCACAGAAATTTGACATCAGGACATTGAGATATTTTGACCTAAATGTACAAAAAAAAAACAGTTTTTTGACATCTTCAAATTAACAATAACTTTGCATCTATTGATTTGGCCAATAGATTCAGATTCGTTATGAACAAATCTACAAAAATGCATACATGTATTTTCCAAAATAGTTAAATATTTATAACTGCAGAAATAAATTATATTAACAAAATCCATGTTCTTTAGCAGACAAGTACCGAATGCTTCATTGAACTGATTTTTTTACATTTTGCATCAAAAGATTTTTTTGGATCGCTGATTATGAATTTAAAGTTGTTTTAAATTATATTTATTAATTTATATTTGTGTATTATTACAATTATAATTATAACGATTTTTTAAGCTTTGAACCACCATATTGGATTCATCATTTTAAATGTTTAAATTTCTACTTTAAATTCATAATCAACAACCCAAAAAACCCTTTGATACAAAGTGTTAAAAAAATCAGTCCAATGAAGCGTTCGGTGTTTACCTACTAAAGAACGTGGAATATGTTAATATAATTTATTCCTGTAGTTGTAAATATTTGATCATTCAGAAAATATATATATGAATGTATTTCTATAGATTTTTTTTATGACAAATCCGAATTTATTGGCCACATCAACGGATATCCTCACGTTTCAAAGTTATTGTAATTGAAGATGTAATTTGAAGATGTGTATATATATATATATATATATATAATCTGTTAAAAAAACGGCATTTTTAGATTAGAATATCTCAAAATTCTGACGTGTTAGACAATTTCTGTAGCCAGGACTCAACGCAAAAAATTTATATCAGAAATCACTTCTACATCTCAATGAATCAAATTTTGCAGGTCAGTGTTACTGATTTATTATTTTTCCTTTTTTATCTTCTTTCTTCAATTATATGGAAGTGTATTTATTCTAAAAAGTTTTCTTTATAACGGCTATATTTGAAAGGAACTTATATACTTGCCTACACAAATAATGTAGTGGACCCAACATCTTCTTTCTCAGTTCGGGATCGCCTTCCAGAATCGAAAGCGCACTTGCGCCTGTTTCTAATGTCGAGAGACAGCCTTCTGTTGGCTGTGTTCTGATCACGTATTCACTAGTCGGCACTCCGATCAGCTTGCAAGCTCGCAGAAAATGCAGAGCTGGGCTCGAATGATATATTGCCTGCAGAATAACGATAAACATAGAAAAATTTAATTATTTATCATATTGTCTTATTATTTTTTGGCACTATATCCTTTTAAAAAATTTAAATTAGTAATCATATGTCACATATTTAAACAATAAATTAATCTAGATCGTTATATAAATAAATCAAATAAATAAATAAAAGTTAATATAATCGAGGCTAGACCTCGGTGCCTAACAATATTTAATATGTAAATTCTAAATATATTTGCATAAATTGTGCACTGCTTACTGTGGTATTATTTCAGCTTTAGTTTGATTACGTTTCAAGTTTCCGATATAATTTATACAAGTAAAAAGATGAGTAAACAAGGATTTAGCCTCGATGACCCATGACATGTCGTCAAGGTCGTGACTCTAAGTGACCTCCAACAGGGTTTAGTTGGTGCTCGTTACTTATTAAAAAGTTATTAATAAAAAAAGTTTACTGCTTTATGTTGTTGTGTATTTAAAAATATAAAAATAAATTTTATTTATATAATAATTTTTATTTATATTACTAAATTTTACTATACACATATATGTTCGCATGTTTTTGTTGGTAACTAAATTTTATACACATTTATTCTTATATTATTCAATTTTATACTGTAGAATCTGAATTAACCTTTTGTAAGAAAGATTGTTACTTTGGCTTACTTAATGGCATTATCAGCGACTTTTTTATATTTGGCGAATACTTTTTGTAATCGAACCATGGCGTATATCCAGGATTTATTTTTTGATAACTACATCTATTCATTGTTGGATACTCAGCGATATTTGAATGTTTGGCGTAAATCCAGGATCTACCTTTCGTCGACTATATACAACTGAAATCAGGGCCTGAACAACGAAGGTCTATTTTTAATAATTTTCGTTGTACTTCTATAATTAGTGATCTATGTTAATCTATTGTCAACCGCTTTCATATACGTACTTGTTTATAACTTTGAAAATGACGCGAAGATGGTTGAAACGTTAGTTTGATGCAGACATATTTTTATTTTGTTTTTACTTTTATTTTACTTAATGTCAACTGTATCATATGTACATTAAAATTTATTTTGTTTTGGCTCGTA